TGGTGGAGTGCCAGATCTTGAGTTCGATAGCGTGTCCTGGGGTGTTGCCCAGATCTGATTCATTCAACGACAATGACTTCAGTTTTGGTGAGCCACCTTGGAGGTCCACAAAGCTGCATATCAACAATGGAGCCGCGTCGAGCTTGGGTGAGAAGGTGATCCGTCGTTCTTCTCTTCGGTGGCTGCTGTGGTCGTGCTGGGGGCATGTGACGGAGCGTTGGTGTCTAGCTCAGAGATGTTTTGCTATCTTTTTAGTTTTGTCATGTCGATCCTTACGTAGCTTGTAATTTGATCTTTATGATATGAATGAGACACGTATTACCATGCAAAAAAAAAACCGATGCGCGGTGGAACCAAATACAACACACCAATGGATCATCCAAGGTATTGTGGCCATTTTTCGCAAAAAAACGTATTATGATCATACCAAGAATCGTGTATGTGTCATGTCAAAAAAAAGGAATCGTGTATGTGCCAGACGAACTGTGAGAAATCTAAGAATAAAAATAGGATTTAAAAAAACAAATGGCCCAAAAAATAAAAGTTATTGTACTCCTATATGATTTCATACGTAATAATAATTAATCAATAACGCGTGTGCAAAAATTAAGTGCACCGCACGGTTCGAACCCAAGACTAAACAGGCTTGCCTAGCGTGCTATACCAGGTGGACATCAGACAAGTTGTGACATATGCCTCCTCAGATATTATCTATACTAGACCTTCTCAAAGCGCAGTTGACCAGCCCCGCCGCTTATTATCCCCTCAGTCCTGCGGCTCACATTCGCCTCTCTCTCAACGCCGGTCGCCGCCTAGATGTGTCACCTGACTTGCCACCGTCCTCCACTCTCGTCTCAGATTTGACCCCAAAGTCAAGCGGTAGGCAGCAGCAGCAGGTTCCCGTGTCGCCATGAGCTGGATGGGGAAGCGGGGGTTGGGTGGGGAGAGCCCGCACTGGCGGAGAAGATGGACGAGGACTGGCGGCCTCGGAGCTACTGGCGGCCCCGGAGGTACCTCGCCGCCGCGTCCAGTTCGACCCTGCCTCCTGCAAGCATGGCGACTTCTTCGACACCGTCTGAGCGGGCCACGACCTAACCACACCCAATCTCTTCAGGTCAGTACAGTACAGTAGGCAATTTGGGATTTTTTTTTTTGAAACTGAAATTGAGGAAATTTTGACACAAATAAATGTGGAGACTGAGTTGTTTGGTCAATTAGTTAATCAGCACGTACACCAGAGACAATTTGTTGCAACATTGACACAATTATGTGATCTAGAGATAATAACATATGTACCGTCTACCGTGGTTTTCGTGGGATAATATAATTGAGTCCGTTTAATCCGTTGAGGAGGCCTCGTGGTTATCTATTTTTTTCACGTTTCTCGCGTAGTGGTTAGTGCCCACCTCGCAGCCGTGGACTCCTGTTACCGAATTCTTTGGCGATCTGGCGCTGATTTCTTGGCGCGGCCACCAAAAACTTCTCGCGCGCCGACGCACCACGCACCAAATTAGGTCCTAAACTAACCGCCATAGTCTCCTGGTCCTCTTTGAAAACAAACACATCCTCGTTCTCCAAACCAATCTAGCTCGAGGGGTGCCCGGCGTCCCTCTGCTTCCACTCCGACAGGTGGTCAGGAGTTCCTCTGCTTCCTCTGCGATGGCCGATCAATCGGCACGCAGCGATCACAGTGGGGCGCCACGGTATCATTCTCTTCTCCCTCCCCATTCCCCTCTCTGCTCATCTCTGGCACACCCCCTTGAGTAATTTTCTTCTTTTCTATCTTACGTGATTGTGCTGATTGTCCATTATTTGTACATTGCAATTTCTTTTCTGCACGATCCATCAGTATTGGTTTGTTGGCGGTTCATAATTTTAGTTTGGCAAGTTTTCTTGTTGTACGAGTTGATCTTGTTTTCTTTCTTTTCTTTCTAAACCATGTTAGCCGGGAACTAATTATGTAAGAAACGGAGAGAATATTTGTAGAACCTTAAATCTAGGATTCAACTGGTATGCTCACAAAAAGGTTATGTTTTATGTGTTTACTACAGTAGCAACTTATGTCCAACTAGTATGTGCTTCTGATGGCCATGAATAACCTGAACAGTTCCCTCAGTTTCTTGTTCAGAAAGTTGAAATAGGTATTAATAAACTTGCACATTAGTTAGCTTGTTTGGATAGAGCTCCTAATGACCATCTTGTTAGTTATGGCCAATGTAGGCCAAATATAGAGTTGTTTGATTGATGTTCTCATTGTTACTATATAATTAATATATATCACACTTTACGTTCATGATTAAATCCAATGCTTATACTATACCTCCTACTTCCATTCTACATTTTTGTAGCAATGTAGATGTCGACCGTAGTTGGATGTACAAAGAGAGACGAGGGAAGTTGATCAGTGATGCTTGGCAACATGGAGTAGATAATTTTCTAGATCATGCATTCTCATTGCCCGATGCTGCTGCAGACGGGAAATCCCGTTGTCCTTGCAGCAAGTGCTTTTGCGGTCATAAGTGCACAAGGGATGTCATGACCACACACTTGTGCAGCAATGGGTTCATGTTAGGATATGAGAGATGGACTAGCCACGGGGAGTCTGGTGCACCTGAAAATGTAGAGCATGATAACGTGGGGGATGGAGATAGAATGAATGACATGCTAGTTGATGCAATTGTTGCTGAAGGAGTTTCTAAAGGTGATGAGCCAACAAAAGCTGCTAAAAAATTCTATGAAATGTCGATGGAAGCCGACAAACCTTTGCATGAGAAGACCACACAATCACGTCTATCCATTGTAGGAAGGCTAATGACTATTAAAACACAACATAATCTGTCAGAAGCTTGTTACAATGAGATGATGACTCTTATACATGACATTGTTGGGGATGATGCTGCAAAAGATCTCCCAGCAAACTTCCATAGGTCCAAGAAGCTTGTGCATAGTCTAGCAATGCCTTACGTCAAAATTCATGCATGCCCCAATAATTGTATGATTTATTATAAGGAGAATGAAAATAAAGAAAAATGCACTATCTGCAAAGAACCTAGATATGAGGAAACAACCGCAGGAAATAAATCTACGAAGATACCAAGAAAAGTTCTGCGCTATCTCCCAATTACTCCTAGGCTACAACGGTTGTACATGTCACAAAGCACTGCCAAGCACATGGACTATCACGCAAGGCCTCATAACAGTGATGAAGTAATGGTTCACCCTTCTCATGGTGAAGCTTGGAAGGAATTTAATAAGGAATTTAAAAAATTTGCTGAGGAAGTAAGGAATATAAGGCTATGTCTAGCAACTGACGGATTCACACCTTTTGGTATTACAGCAGCCTCCTACTCATGTTGGCCAGTATTTGTTGTGCCTTATAATCTTCCACCAGAAATGTGCATGAAGCAGAGTAACCTGATCCTTGCACTAGTTATTCCCGGTCCAGATCATCCAGGAAAGAACCTAAACGTTTTTATGCAGCCTCTAGTTGACGAACTTGATGATTTGTGGAGAAATGGTGTAGAAACTATGATAGTTATCGAAAGCAAAATTTCACCTTAAAGGCAGCTTTGCTTTGGACTATTCATGACTTTCCAGCTTATGGATTAGTAGCATGCTGGAGCACTCATGGAAAGCTTGCTTGCCCTATATGTGGATCTGACATAAAGACATTCTCATTGAAGAATGGGAGAAAACCATGCTGGTTTGACTGCCATAGGATATTCCTTCCCACTGACCATGCATTTCGTAGGAGTGTGAAATGTTTTCGCAAGAAAAAAACAGTTTTAGATCCTCCACCAAAGCCCTTGTCAGGAGAACAGGTGTATGAAGAACTCCAAAGTCTTGTCCATGATGAAACTGGCAAGAGTAAATTTGAGGGGTTTGGGAAGGAGCACAATTGGATAGCTATAAGTGGTTTGTGGAAGCTAGAGTATTTTCGGAAGTTGCTGCTTCGCCATAACATTGATGTAATGCACAATGAGAAAAATGTATCTGAGGCTTTACTAAACACATGCCTTGATATTCCTGAGAAAACTAAGGATAGCAACAAAGCACGCCTTGATGTTGCTTTGTATTGTGATCGACCAAAGCTACACCTGAACAAGAATTCAAGGGGTGTGTGGAAGAAACCTAGAGCGAAATATTGTGTCAGCAAGGAAGATAGAATGACCATCCTTAAGTGGTTTAAAGAAGTGAAGTTTTCTGATAGGTTTGCTGCTAATTTGAGTAAAACTGTCAACTTGAGTAAAAACAAATTCATTGGGCTGAAAAGCCATGACCACCACATCATCATGGAGGGTTGTTTACACTATTCAGCCAAGTACCAGCTTGAGTAACTTTGATGACTGCGCAAATGACCCATCTACTACAGATGAATATTTCCAGGAAGGTGGTCAGCTGGGTAGTTTTTCTGTAGATGGTGGCAAATTTGTTGATGAATCTACTGAGCCAAGAAAGGAGTCAGATGATGTGGAGCTTGATCCCTCTGAAATTTATGTAATAGAAAATCAAGGCAATAATTATGAGGGAGAAGAATCTTCAGAAGATGAATTGGACGAGAGTACTGATGAGGAAGAAGAAGATTTACCTGAAGAGGAAGGACAAGAAGAGACATATGAGACCGAAGATGAGGATGATGCAATAGAGCATGACTCTAAATATGACGATGATGATTACTGAACATTTATAGCTTTTGCACTTGTCATTTTCTGTCTTGGTACCAATAAATATTATATAGTGGCACAACTAGTGAATAATATAGTATGTTTACTATTGGTAGTAATACATATTACATAGTGATTTAGTGACACAACTATTGAATAATATATTATGTTTGATAGTATTTCTAGTTTAGTTGTTACATAATGTTTTCTCTTGTTCTCTTCTTCTACTATCATGCCTTTGGTAATCATCTACTAATTATTTTTTTATGTGGCTAATAAGAATGCATTTGTCACTATGTAAATAGGATGACCCGCTTGCATCATAGGCGTGTCTCAATGGCTAGGTCGAACAGGTCTTCTTCTAGTGCCTCCGTAGGAAACAATGGATCAACTCAGTCAACTGTACAGGCTAAAAAGCCTAGAACACCAAGAACTAGGACTTCAGCCGGTCTCAGACTAGAGGAAATTGATCGACCGCTTATAGTTCCCATTGGCATGTAAGTATTAAATATTCCAATTGCTTTACTTGTTGGAGCAATGTTCATGTGCTAACTACATTTGATCTTTATTTATAACAGGGCATGGGAAAGGCACCCATACAGCGCTCGTGATCCATCAACGGTGTTAGGTGCCTTAGTGCGCCAGATGTATCCACCGCCAATTGGTCCAAAAAATGATCAGAAACCGGTATTGTGTTGGGAGGACTACAAGTGGTCCCCTGGTCCAGAAGTAAGAACAGCAGCTTCCAAAATAGTGGAAGAATTTTGGGTAAGTATATGCGCACAATGCTTTGAGAATTTTGAATCAGTTTTTCTAGTACTTAGAATTCTGAAACAGAGGTGAACATATTATATTTAGACATAAGAAGTCTAAAACTGGTGGATAGGTGGTAGTTAAAATTCTTTATTTTGGTCACAACCATGACAAAACTACTTGGTTTATCTATGAAGTGTTGGAAGCTTTGATGATTATGCATATGCTCACTTCCACAAATGCACTAGTAACTAACAAAAAATGTTTTGGGATGGTTTTTGGCAGTGGCGTTTCAAGTGTGACCCATCGGAGCAAGAGAAGGCAGATGGTGTTTTGGAGGAGAACTTAACTAGGAAAGTGAAGCAGATGCTACATGAGGAAAAGGCGGCAGCCATCAAAAGATTAAAGAAGAAGGGACAATTGCCTACAGAACTAACAGAAGAGGATGAGGATGGTAACCGCTGGCCAACTAAGGAAGCTTTAATTTCTGCAAAGAGAGTTGACTTTGGTACAGACGTTGGTTGGCGTCTACTATGTGAGCACTGGAGTAGTACTGAATTTAGAGGGTTATCTTTAACCAACAAAAGGAACAGACTTGCTAATGGGGACACGGTCTTCCATTGCAGTGGTGCTAGAAATGTTGTCGCCACATGTCAATTTCTGGTACTATTTTCGTCAAACATCTTTGTGCTTACTGTTTAATAAGGAAGTTTCATTTACATTGGATGATGTGTCACACTCTTGAAATGCAGAAACTCAAAACCGGGAAAGACCCTGGAATTTCTGGTGCTTGGCTTCACACGCACAAATTGCATCGAGGGACTGATGAAGAGCAGATATGCAGTCAAAGAACTGCTGATCATTGGGTCAGTAAAATATTGCAACTTAGTTCATTATAATCATCATGAGAACTATGTGCATAACACTGCAGTTTACCATTAATTTTTAATTTGAAAAGGAGGATTTTGATAAGGCAATGAAAAATGCCCATGGAGAAAATTGGGAAGAGGAGCACCCGGATTTAGATGGACAAATCATCTATGAAGCAGCAGGCAGAATGCCACATGGCAGGCTGGGAATTGCTAATGAGTTGTTTAGCAAAGCAGAGAAGGCGAAGTTTAAGTCTAAAAGGGTGATGGCCTCACAGCCGGTGCAATCTGCTAAGGAGGAGCGTCTAGAAAGAGAAAACAAATATTTGAAGCAGGAGATCAAGCGTCTTCGAGGCATTGAGCTTGTTGTTCAGGTAATATTATCTTCTCTTGTAAATTAGAGTCTGAGTGAATAGGTATGTGCTGACATGCTGATGTTTGTAGTCTTTGGCTGAGAAAGGGGGAGTCGACTTTGATGGCATAATGCAATCAGCAACAGATGACTTGGTAAGTTATACCCATCTGAATTGTAGGCTTTCAGCAATTGAACCCATTAAGTAATGTTTCTTTTGTGTATGATACATAGTCTCCATCATATTCTGAAGGCGGATTTCAAAGGGGACGAGGTGATGTGCCTCAACACCAAACCGAAAAGGTTAGTTCATTGTCGTCGTGCTCGCAAGTCTGGGGATTACCTCTCCTTGTTCCACCATTTATGTGTTTGTCTTTGCATATGTATTAGCACATCAAGAGAGAATTTGTGTGTGCAAGTCAGGTGCAGTATTTTTGGCCATGGAAAGTAGCAGCAGAAGTAGATCCTTCATATATTTTAATTACAGATTTAGAAAAGAAATGCATGGTTAACTATATTGGCGCATTCCTCTAAAGGATTATATCACCCAAGAGAAATGACTGATGCTGCATGTAAATACTTGATGGTTGATAGGACAAGTTTATCTGCACATCTATGAGAAAAAAAATGCAGTGAAGACCACACTTGATAGCCTACAGTTGTCATGCTTGTTTATCTGTACATATGCCTTGTTTGCTTGTATCTCTGTACATATGCCTTGTTTGCTTGCATATCTAAATTCGCTATCATTTCTTATGTGCAAAACTAGATAAACTAAACCATGTTAATTAAAAAATCATTAATAGGAAAAATATGATAGTATGAACAATAATTTATTTGTACTTCATGTATAATTTATTGAGGTCGCAGGGAACGAATTAGTAGACATGAAAGCATTTAGGCTAACCATCCGGAATATTTTTCTTACGGATACTCTTACTTTATCTAAGCATTGTACCATGTTCGATAAAGCCTCTGTACATATGCATTTCAATTATAATACATATACATGCAAATATTATTTCACCTTGGGGCACATGCTGCTAGTTTATGCTCTTTGTACATGCCATTCTTAATTAGTTTACTATATGCCCAAACTAGCCAATAGCGGTCTGTTAGTTTAGTAATTCGGCTTTGTCATGTGACTGCGAAATGTAAACACTGTTGATAATGGGGTTGCAGATAGATATGCATAGTACTTGGTAAATGTGTATGGAATGTGTTCCTGCTGATTCATGTTTCCTCTGAAAATTTCATGTGAAGGAACGAAAGGTGAATAGGCATCATATTGTTGGATAATCATGCTGTCATATAGCAGTTCGCAGATAACCTGTCAATTAGAACAATTAAGTTTGATCCCTGTAGGTCACTTAAATTTCAGCTACATTATACTGACAACTAGTCTTGTCATTACTTAGGGAATGGGAAGCAGGACTGGAGGCAGTACGAGTCATGGAAATGATGATGAGGACGACGACTATGGCAATGGGGGATATGGTAACTATGGCGAGGGTGATCTGTATGGTGATGAGCACTATGATCACTATGGTGATGGGGAATATGATGACTATGGAGATGAGGATGACTATGTCTATGGCTATGGCGGTGGCGATGGCGATGATGATGATTGGCTATAAAATCTAATGATCTTCAAGTCATGTCAAAATGTAGTTGTGTTAGATATTTGAAACACTTTATTATCTTATGGACAAATTTGTCTTAGTGGACAATTTATCTTATGCAAAATGTGGCCTATCTCAGTTACTATTTTGTTCTGCATTCGACATTTGATAATTATGGTTAATGCAATTTGGATGCAACTCAATACCTTGTGCTTGTGTATGAGATGGAATGAAACACCCCTTGGTGAAAGAAATATACGAGGGGTGAGTAATGACCTATGGTGGAAAATATGTCTCGGTTATAGAGAATGCCAATGGGGACTTCAGACTGTTGGTGAATTTATAAATTGACGGTGTTTGCTCACCCTTGACTAACAGGTTTTCTGGCGGTGTTCGCTCACCCTCGGCTAACAGGTTTCCTGAAAGGCCGTATACACTGTCGACCATCTAATGAGCTGACGGGTTGGTTCTCCTCACGGTCATAAATAAGTCCAGCGGGGCAAATGTACCGTCGACTACTTTGAAAACCGACGGGAAGCAATAACCGTCGGAGAGTAAATGCTCGACGAGGAACCGTCGGCTATAAATGTCGTCGGGCTAAGATGAGCCAGCTGGTCACAATAACATGCCCGACGGCTCACCGTCGGCTTACTACCGTAGGTGACAATATTACCCGACTGTACCGTCGACCATTACTGTAATGGCCGACGGAGCAAGGCCGACGGGAGATGGCCGACGGTGTACCGTCGGTTTTAGTAATAGTTGACGGTGATCAAAAATATCCGACGGTGATTGGACCCTCGGTTATAATGAAATATCTAGTAGTGCAAAAACTGTTGCGATCCCCTATACTTATGGGTTATCAAACTTCTACATGCCAAACTGACAATTTAAGGCATAGTCCATTGTTCACTTGTGAAGAAATCTAATCCTGTTGCTCTAGGTGGAAGTTCAACTTAACAGTCTCCACTGAAATTTCTGATATATCAAACATTGTTTGGAACAGTTGACAAACTTATATGCCTCGAGATCTGGTGGGGGATTGTTGAATCATAGATGGGCTTTAGGCCCATATGAATAATGATTCCTGATTAATCTTGAGGCCCATGTATGATATGGCAGGTGGTGGGAAGTTTAGTTCCACCTTACTAGTTGAGGAGAGTTGAGACCTCTTTATATGGGCTGCTCTACCACTTGCCATTGGGAGCTTGGGAAGAGGAGTGGTACACGCGCGCTCCTCCTCCTCCGTCGCCCACCTCGCCACGCCTCGTCACGATGTGCACGCGCCGCGGGTTGCAGGAATGAGTCGAGCCGAAACTTATGACTTCCTACCCGACGGCCTATATAAGAAGGCTTTGGCCAGTGGAGTGACCTAGTTCGGTTCACTCACTCTCTCTCGCGTAACCTAGCCGTCATCTACTGTTCCTCACTATGTGCTGCCTCCGGCGACCTCATCCCGACGACCGCGTGCACGATTGGTCGGGAGAGCATGTGCCTCTGGAACCCTGTCGTCCGAGATTCTGCCCGGGAGAACGGCAATAAGGTTTTTGAGGAGCGTCTCGACGCGACTGCTTCCAATCCGTCCCAGCTCCGTCTGCCTCTGCTTCCACTACTTCCCCTGCATCAACACCATGGTCACCGCCGCCGCCGCCAAAAAGAAGGTCATGGACGACGCCGAGGCTGCTGTTGTCACTGCCGCGTTGGCCTGACCAATCGGAGGGTATGATCTATTCATCCTTTGTTTACTCGTAGTCATGCTAGCCGTATATGTGCTGCTCATAGATGGTTCGTTTCTATGTTATGTAGTACGTACTAGTATGCTTAGCTATAGGCATGGGAATGCATATCATATTTGCCATGCTTACTGTGTACTTATAGATTAGTCTTTTTTTATGTATGTACTTGTAGATTAGTCTAATCAAGAAAGTGCTAATATTTTCAACAATAGATGCCATAAATGTAAACCGTGTGAAAACCATAGGAGGAATGTTCCTCCTGAAACATATGAAATCTATCTGGCCGCCAGCCCGGCGCACGTTAGACGCGATGAACTTGCCGATGGTCAATGGTACGTATGAGACCTCCTAGTTCGACGCTCTGAGGCGTGAAACGGGTGTGTTGCCGCTAGGGGCGTCCTGGTAGGCTAGCCCATTTGCCCCAACTGCAGCGAGTGGGTTTAAGTGGGAGAACTGATACTGTAGTGAACTGATGTACAATATTGTAGCGAACAGTTGTACTTTAGCAGCCATGGTAATGTACTGTAGCAACCATTTAAAAATGATAGCATTTCTTGAACAGTGATCAATTTTGGGAAACACAAAACTTTTTTGAAAATTGGGACCTTTTTTCGGAAAATGAACATTTTTTAAAACACTCGACCAAATTTGAAATTATGATTTTTTAAATCTGAATAAATAAAATCACATTTTTTATGTTCACTGTATTTTAGAAAAAGTTCACTGTACATAAAAAATGTTCAATGTGTACTTCTAAAAATATTCACCATATATTAAAGCATGTTTAGTGTGTATTTAAAACAAATGTTCGCACTATTATAAAACAATGTTTAGGATGTGCTTGAAAAATGTTCACCATATATAGAAAAATATTTATAGTACAGAACCTATAAAAGATTGAAAAGGTAAAAAAAAAAAAAAGACAGAAAACGCCCAACATGGTAGAAGAGAAAAAACAAAAAAAAAGTAGAAGGAAAAAACACAAAGCACAAAACTAGTCGACACCTTCGGGTTTCCCAAGGGTGTCGACTAGGGTTTACCAAGTGCGAGCCAGTCGTGTGTGGCCGCATAGAGTATCATATTTTGTTTCATTTTTCTTGTATTATTTTATTATTTCTCTATTTCCAGAAAATCCTTTTAAAATGTGTTTATATTTTTATTTATAAACAAGTTTTTCAAACTAAAATTTTGACTTTGAAGAAAAAATATTAATTAAACAACCATGAATTCAAAATATGATCACGAATTCAACAAATATTCATGAGTTACAGAAATAACATGAATTTTAAAACTATTCATGATTCTTGTTATTTAAAATTTCATAAGTATTCAAATAATTTAAAAATGTTCTTGAACTCAAATGATGTTCAAGAATTTTAAGAATGGTCATGGATTTTAAAAAGTGATTGGGAATTCAAACAATGTCATAAATTTGAAAAGTTGTTCATGAAAAAATGAAAGATAAAAAGAAACAGCACCAAAAAATGCGGTGAGAAAAATATAAGAAGAAAAATGAAAATTCTACTCGGACCTTCCCAAACCTAGAGAGAAGGTTCCGAAAGTTTTCCAAAAATGTGCAGAATCAGCCAAACAGAAAAAAGAAAACCACATATTTGTGTCTTTGCTGGGTCGCAAGCTGCGACCGTAACCTATAGGCTAGTGCTCGGTGGCAAAGGCATTTGCAGGTGTTCCTTTCTTTTATTGTTGGTTCAGTGCAATTTTATATCTTCCGTGGATGGCGTACAAACTAAGAGAGAGATGGCATATATTTTGCAATGTAATACTTTCTCCGTTCCAAAATAAGTGTCTCAACTTTAATACAACTTTGTATTAAAAATAGTATAAAGTTGACACACTTATTTTGGGAGGGGGGTAATTTTATTTTGTACTGTCTATGCCCAGTTGTCCTTTTACTGAAATTGGCTATTGCTTTCCTTCGTAAATATCAGATACATGTTCCTCTTTGGGTGTCATTTTTTCAAAAGTAGTCCTCCTATTCGAGCGTGTAGTGCCCTGGACAGCCAGCAAGCGCGGACTCTGGTGCATGCTATTGGGCCAGCCCATTTACCCAATTTGCTGAATGTTTTTTTTTTCAATCGTGGCAAGGAGCTAAAATGTCAGTGGCCCCTAAAAAAAGAAGATAAACTGTCAGTGAAATTTAAAAATGTTCACGGATTAAAAATTCATGAATTAAAAAAGTTTCTGAATTAAAATCGTGAATTTAAACCAAGTTGCTGAATTCAAAAAAGGATCATGAATTTAAAATATTTCATGGATTTAAAAAAATAACAAATTAAAAATCACAAGTATCGAAAAATGTTTGAGTAATTAAAAATTGTTTGTAAATTCACGTAATATTCATAAATTTAGTAATATTTTAAATTTAAAAAGAAAACTCACGAAATTATAAGAAGGAAAATAACTAAACTAAAATGTAAAATATGAAAAAAACAGAAAGAAACATAGAAAAATAAATAATAAAAGCAGGACAAGGAAACACACACAAGAAAGCTGAATTTGGGCTGTTTTGTGGTGCCAGTTTTGTGGTGTATCCATCGTGTTACGTGTTACGTGAGGAATAGGCAAACAGCCGCGCCTTCACACAGGCGCGATCCGAATGGACTTATCCATTTGGGATTTAGAGACACTGTTTTACCCAACTACTGTAGCAAACTAGAACTATAGCGACTGGTGTACCATTGCAACCTCATTTTCTGTTCCTTTGACCATTTTATGAAAAGATGGATATTTTCTAGAAACATGAACAACTTTTCACAACTATTAACATTTTTTGAAGTTTTGGACACCTTCTCCATATTTTGATTTTTTTTAAGATCAATCATTTTTTGAAAATTATTCAGTATGTGATTGAAAAAAGTTCATCATAGTTAAAAAATGTGAAGTGTGAACTAGAAAATGGTGGTTGTCATAATTAAGTAAAGTTCACCCTATTTTAACAATTGATCAACAGTATATCAAAAATGCCCATCTTCTACTAAAAAAATGTTCATTTCTATTTGAAAATATTCATCATATATTAAAAATATTAACTGTGTATTTGAAACAAAATCAATTGAAAAAATTGGCATTGTATATTGCAAACTCTATAAAGAATATTTTTTTGAAGAAAACCAAATCTGAAAAAGAAAAAAGAAAAGCGAAAAAAAAACCACATGCACAAAACAAACAAATAAAACAGCCCCGAAAAGCAGCTAAAAAAGCAACCGCCAAAAAAGGCTTGCCCATCTAGAGCCTCGCTTCAGTGAAGCCGTGACTATT